CTCCTCCCTCCCTCCCTCCCTCCCTCTCTAACTCCCTCCCTCCCTCTCTCGCTCCCTCTCTCTTCTCTGTGTGTTTGCGTTCGACAAAGAACTGATTTGAACTTCCCCCCCTGGCTCATAAAAGGGGAGCGGAGGAGCGGGCAGGCCATATGGATGTGATTGTCCCGCAGATGCCCGGCAAGGAGCGGCGGCCGCGGGGGCTGCGGAGCTGAAGCGGCCCCCGCTCCCCCTCACCCCCAACATCCCCCCATGGGCTCCTCGGCCGCTTTTTGGGAGCTCCCCGCCGACCCAGCCATGAGAAAACGGAGCAGAGGACCGGCCATCCTCCTCGTCATGTGCCTTTCTGGCTGAAGGGAAAAAAAAAAAACGCAACACAAACAAACAAACAAACAAACAAACAGCAACAACAAAAAAAACAACCCCACACAACCCCACACCGACCCAAAACCTCTGGAAGCGAACAAACAATCCAACAAAATTCTGGAGGGGGCGGCGTGGTGGTGGGGTGGGGGGGGGAGCGGGAGGGAAGGAGAAGAAGGAGAAGGAGAAGAAGGAGAAGGAGGAATCAGCAGCGCTGGAAGAGCCCTCGCCCTCCTGCTTTTCCCCGAGCGAGCTTGGATGCTGGAAGGAGCCTCTTGGATATGGGATCATATCTGGTTTCTCACAGCCTGGGTTTGCTGCTCTGCTGCTCCGTGCTCAGTTCTGTCTACGCTCTGGTGAGTGCCGATTTTTCTCTTTGGCTTTCGCGGCATGCTCGGGGGGCTCCTCGCCCTCTCCTTTCCCGTGTCAAACAGCGGGATGAAAAAAAGCTGCTCGGGTGTAGTTTGGTTTTGGGTTTTGTTGTGTTTTTTGGTTTTTTTTTTTCGGTTGTTTCACTGGCAGGCACTGCGTGTGCACTCGGGCTCGCAGTTGGGCTGCAGCAGATGGAATTAAAATGTCTGAGCTTCCCCCAGGAGTTTGAATCACTTGGAAAGCCCTCTGCACAGAACGTGTGCACTTTGACAGGGACCGGTGGCTGGGGATAATCTAAAGGCACCTATGGGCAAAGGACAACTTCTCTTTTTTCCTTTTCCTTCTTATTTTCTTTTCAAATTTTCTTTTGCTTTTATTTTTTTTATTTATGTTCTCTTTTTTTTTTAGTTTTTCTTTCACTTTTTCTTCTTCTCTTTCATTCCTATTCGGTTTTCTGTCATTTTTTTCTTTCTTTTCCTTCCCTTTCCTTTTCCATTTCCCTATTCCTTTTCCCTTCCACTTCCCTCTCCACCTCTCCTCCCTTCCCTTTCCCCTTCCCTTTTCCCTTCCCTTTCTCCTTCTCTTCCCCTTCCCATCCTTTTTTTCTTCCTCTTATCCACCCCCTCGAGACAATTTAATTTACATTTCATCTCCTTGTATTACAAATCTCCCTAATCCCAGTGAAACAGTGCCTTCTTCTTTGGGATTAAATTTGGGAAGGACCTCAGAGTGCAGGATTCACCCTCAGTCCCCACTCAGGACCGTGA